CCACCACGGCAGTGTAGTAGGATTTGAAATCAGGGTGAGAGATGCCTCCTACTTTTTTCCTATTTTTAAGGAGTGCTTTGCTTATTTGGGGCTTCTTTCCATTCCAAATGAAACTAGAGATTACCTTTTCCATCTCCTTAAAGAATGGGATTGGTATTTGTATTGGGATTGCATTGAACATATAAATTGCCTTTGGTAGTATTGCCATTTTTACAATATTGAGTCTTCCTATCCATGAGCAAGGGATATGGAGAAGAGTTTTGAACGTACCATGGATTGCCAAGAAAACAAACAGATTCATCCTGGAGCAGGTTAAACCAGGCTGCTCCTTGGATGTAAGGATTCTGGGGCTTCGTCTGACATACTTTGGACATGTAAGGAGGGACAGGTCCTTGGAGAGGGATATCATGCTTGGAAGGGTGGAGGGTGGTGCAAGAGGGAAAGACCCTCTATGAGGTGGGTTTACTCAGTGAGTGTGGTAATCTGGATGAGTGTGTCAGAGGCAATGCGATTGGCACAGGATAGAGCAGGGCTTAGGGCTGTTGCACATAGGGTCGCTATGAGTTGCAAGCAATTCGACGGCACATAACAACAACAACAATGTTCAGAAAAGAACCTCTGGTGGCTTTGTGGTAAGAAGCTGTGCTGCATTCCCAAAGGCACCCGGTATAAATCCACCTGCTCTTCCACAAGAGAAGGATGGACTTCTTTCTTGGTTGCTCTGCAAGCTGCTGGTATAGTCAATATTTTATGACAACACACAACATATGCTTGTATAACTTTTCCTTAATTTACTTTTGACCAAATCTAGTTTTTCCGAGTATTGAAATTTTCCGGCTTACTTTCTCTTCCTCATTCTCTGAGGGAGCTCTGGTGGCTTAATGGTAGGAATTACGTTGTCGCCTCAAAGGGACATTGTTCAAACCCACCCGCTGCTCAGAAGATGAACAATCTCTTGAATGATTTACTACCTCTGAAAAAGCCGCTGAGGGGGTAGGTTATGAGGTTCCAACTTGAAACAACAACTTCTCTCTAATCCATTTCTTGTCTGGAGGACGGGTGGTGTGTGGTCATCCAGTGAGTGGAGTTTAAAAGAGGATTTGACAGTCCACACACTTGGCATGTGAATGGGCAACTCAATCCTCCATCTGTATTTTCCTCGACAACTCTCCTCAATTTCCCTAGTAGTCAGAGCATTTTTGATCAGATGCACACTGATGAAGACTGAAAAATTAATTCTTGAAATTAAAGTCATTTAAATGACCAACGTTAAATTTGTCAAATAAATTTTGCTCCATTACTTATCACTTTGTCTTCAAAGTGGCACTTTAAGGTAAATCCATTCTGATCCTGTTCAGTCTGATCTTCTTGCAGCTACAATTCTTTTTGACCACTGCAGTTGATGGAAATCGGAAGTCATTAACCAGTTGCTTATTCTTGGGCAAGTCTTTGGGCTCTTTGGGCCTAAGAAAAACAAATTATAATTCACAGATAGTAAAAGTGAGTATGTGCATGTGTGATAGGGAGAAGGGCCAATCTTGTGTTGTAGTTGTCAGGTGCCATCGAGTTGAGTACGACTCATAGAGATTCTGTGAACAAAAGATCTGAACCCTGTTCTATCCTGTGACATCCTTACACTTCTTGACACACAAGAGCTCATTGTAGCAATCACCGTGTCAGTCCACCGGGGTAAGGGTCTTCCTCTCCTTCGATGACCCTCCACCCTTCTCAGCATCATGTTCTTCTCCAAGGAATAGCCCTTCCTTCATTCTTTCCTCCAAATAACACTCCAACTGCACCCTCTCCAAGACATATCTATTCATTCTCTTGGCTGTCCATAGAATATTTAGTGCTCTTCTCCAACACCACAGCTCAAAGGTATCAGTTCTTTTTCTGTCATCCTATTCACTGCCTTTCTTTCAGATGCATAGCAAGTAATCAGAAATACTATGGCCTGCATCAGATGCACCTTAGTCCTCAAACTGACATTATTGCTCTTCAATAATTTTGCAAGGTCCCTAACTGTTGATTTTCCTAGTGCGTCTCCTCATTTCTGGACTGCTGGTACCAAGGGTGTTAATTGTGGCTCCAAGCAAGATGTGGCTGTTGACAGTTTCAGTCTCTCCATCATGATGTCCAGTGGCAAGAATCTTTGTTTTCTTTAATATTGATATTCAGTCCATAGCAAAGGCTGCATTCCTTGATTTTCTGTAACAAGTGATTCAAGTCCTCCTCACTTTTAGCAAGCGAGGTTGTGTCATCTGCATACAGCAGGTTATTAATGAGTCTCCCTCTGATCCTGATGTCACATTGCTTTTCACTATGTCCAGCTTCTCGAATAACTTGCTCGTATAAAGACTGAATAGGTATGGAGAGCGAAAACTACTCTGACGCACTCCTTTCTTAATTTTAAACCATGTATTGTTCCTCTGCTCTGTTCGCACAAAAGCCTCCTGGTCCAGATATAGATTCTGCATGAGCACAATTAAGTGCTCTGAGATTCCCATTGTTCACAATGTTAGCCCTAACTTGTTATCCACACAGTCAAATGCCTTTGCATAGTCAATAAAGCACAAATAGACATTATTCCAGTAATCTTTACTTTCAGCCAGGATCCATCTGACATCAGCAGTGACATTCCTGGTGCCACGAAATCTTCTAAATCCTGCTTGAGTTTCTGGTTGTTGTTGTTATGTGCCGTCGAGTCGCTTGCGACTCATAGCGACCCTATGTACAACAGCCCTAAACTCCGCTCTGTCCTGTGCCAATCGCACTGTCTCTGACACTCCCATCCCAATTATCCCAGTCACTGAATCAATCCACCTCATAGTAGGCCTTCCTCTCCTGCGCTGTCCCTCCACCCTCCCAAGCATGATGTCCCTTCTCTAAGGACCGGTCTCTCCTCACAACATGTCCAAAGTATGTTAGACGGAGCCTCAGAATCCTTGCCTCCAAGGAGCCACCCGGTTTAACCCTTTCCAGGACAAATCTGTTTGTTTTCCTAGCAGTCCATGGTATTCTCAGTACTTTCCTCAATTTTAAGCAGCAGGATCTAAACCCAAGTAAACTAGCAACCAGTTCGCACGCGCACATTTAAAGTGTCAGCGTGCTTGCTTGGGCTCCTTAGCTCCTCCCCAATCCTTAGATCATGTCTCTTTGGTTTCCTAGAGACCACTCGGCCACGCCCCATGGGATTCAAGTTGCCAAGTACCATCCGCGTTTTCCTTGCCATCATTGGTTCATTCCCTGGGTTCAAAGGTTAGGGGCGGGGCGCCTCCTTTTGCGCACGCGCTAGTTTTCGCTTTCTCCACGCTGTTTAGGTGGTACGGCCAGCGCCTTTCCATCGGTTTCTTGTGTCTGGGAGGATCTGGTTTGTCACCGAGGACACGATGGGGAAAATTTCGGGTTCTCCGGAACCGGGAGCCCGACCCGACCCGGTTCGGAGCTTTAATCGTTGGAAGAAGAAACATAGCTATAAGCAGCACCAAAAGAAGCAGCTGAGGAAGCAGCTGAAGAAGCCCGAGTGGCAGGTTGAGCGCGAGGTTATCAGCCGCCTCACGCAAAACTATGAGAAGGTGAGGCAGGAGCGGGGTGGTGTTGGATCGGTGCCACTAAGTCGCATCAGGTGGGCAGGCAGGAGGTCTGTGTGTCACTGCCGCGGTGGGTTATTGCTTGACCTGTCCGCTGTTTGCCTTCGTGGGCTGGAGAGTCAATGCAGTGGGACCTATTACGGGGTGGGGGTGGGGTGGGGGTTGTCCAAGTCCCACAAGTTCTCTGCAGACGTCTTGACATCCAGGCCAATACTGCAGTGTTCTTGATGGAACTGTAAGTGGTATGTAAGTGATATTAATGCTGTAGTAGTTATATACTATTCACAATAGTATCGCTATCACTGATATAATAAGTGATCTCTATCTCTTAAAGCCTCCACCATAGGCTTCATGTTAACTGTTTGACTTGACATGAGTTACGCGTTTTAGTATTACTGTTTAGCTGTATTACAGATGAGGAAATTGAGACTCTGAGAGGATAAAAATGTCCCAGACTCTCACACTTAGTTGTTGGTGTGTGATTGGAACATAGACACATGGCTTTTCTGATTTCACAGTATTTGCTTGTAACCTTTATTGCAAACTGTCTGCATCATCCATCCTTTTTCCTGTGCATATATCATTTTCTTCGTTTCCCAGGCCAAGAGAAGCAGGACTTCTTGCCTTCTCCTGGTAGCTAGCATCCCCACAGCTAATACTTCTAGATGAGTGTCTCTGCAGTTACCACATTGATCTGTTTCTCAGCTCAGCTTTTGTGGGTCCATCTGTGCCTCTTCCCTCTGCTTCCCTTTGAAGTCCATGTCTGTTAATCTTCTCCCACCTCCCTCAATGACTGTCCTCTTCTAGTGGGTTTAACTAGGACTTAACATGTGGAACATTCATGGAATGAAATTCCTCACTTGGCACATTGTCAGGTACCGTCGCATGACGATCCTATGAATAACAAATCTGAACCATACTCTGTCCTGCCCCATCTCTGATAATATCTCTGATATGTCCAAGCTGATTGACACTATGTCAGTCCATTTTGTTAGAAGTCTTCCTCTTTTTTTCTGACCCTTTACTTTTAAAAGCATGGTATCTTTTTCTGAGAACTAGCGCCTCTCCTGACAACATGCCCAAAGTGTGTGAGATGAAGTTTTACTGTCTTAGGAGCTGCCTGGTTGCACTCTCTCTCAGATAGACTTGTTTCTTCTTTTGGCAGTCCATTCAGTGTTCTTCACTAGTCCTGCACTTCAAAGACATCATTATTCATTTTACAACTTTTGGTTACATAGGCAGCAATAGAAAAAAACCCCATAACTTCGACCACGTGCACTTTCGTCTTTAAAATGACATAATTGTTCTTTTAGAAGTTTGATGTGGTCCCTAACAGAAGATTTTCCTAGTGCAGCATGTCTTTTGATTTTACTGTTGTTACTATGGAGAAAGGATGAAAGTCCGCACGCAGGTGTCGAGGACTTTCGTTCACAGGGTTGCTATGAGTCGCCTGCGACTTGACAGCACTCAACAACAACAACAACAACAACACACTATGGCTGTTGCTTGTAGGGCCAGGTAAAATGAAGTGATTGACAACCTCAGTTTTTTTTCCATCTATCATTATCTGGCCTGGCATATCTCTACTTTATATGACTCTTAGAGTAAGGAGTTGTGCTGCCAACCCAAAGACAGGCTGTTCAAATATACCAACTGCTCTGAGGGACAAACTTGGCATTCTCCTGTGCAATTTATAGTTTCTTAAAACACTCTGGAGGGTCAGCTATGAGTTATTCTTAACCCAATGACAATGATTTTGATAGTGAGATTTGATTAAACTTAGAGTTTAGGAGTTTGCTTTGAACTTTCGGGTCAAGATAATAATGATTTTGATCGCAGCTCTGCTCACCAGTTGAGTGACTTTGGGCGGCTTACTAAATGGTTGTATATCCTTTCTTGTGTCTTTAAAGGCGCAACAACATCTACTTTTAAGTTGTGTGAATGTAAAAAGCATTCAGTAGAATGCCTGCAATTTAGTAATTACTCAGTGCGCTTTAGTTCAAGTCCCATGTTCTTTTGCCTAGATCGCTACAGTAGGAAAGCAAACTTTTCTCTGTAAAAGACCAAATAATAAAAGCCTTCATTGCTGATGAGTCACAACTGACTCACAGCTGACCCTCCAGTGGGTTTTCAAAGGCTGTATCTCAGGGGAGGAGATTGCCTATCTTTATTCCTTAGTTAGTGGATTTGAACTGCCAGAGAGGCAGCAGCAGCTTGCAGCTCAGCTATTGTGGACTGTGTCACTAATTATTGTTAAGTGCCATCAAGTTGTCTGGACTCATAGTGACCATGTACAATAGTTCTAAAGCCTGCCCTATCCTGAGCCAGTCTCACTGACTCCAACACACCTACCCCCATCACGCCAGTTACTGTGTCAGTCCATCTCATGCAGGATCTTCCTTTCCTGCACTGTCCTTCCACCCTTCTAAGCATGATGTCCTTCTCCAAGGACTGGTCCCGGTAGGCCACGTGCCCCAAGTATGTAAGCTTCATAATCCTTGCCTCCAAGGAGAAGCTTGGTTTCACCTTCTCCAAGACAGATCTCTTTGTTCTCTTGGCAGTCCATGGTATGTTCAGGACTCTCCTCCAGCATTACAGGTCAAAGGCATCAATTCTTCTCTGTCTTTAGTCATTATCTAGCTCTCTGATGCATAGCAACTAATTGCTAAGACCATGGCCTGGCTTAGGTGTACCTTAGCGCCTCGACTGATATAATTATTCTTTAACACCTCACCAGAGCTCCTTTAAAAGGGACAGATAGTACATATCTTTGGCTTTTTAGGTCCTAAGATTGGAATTGAACTCCCTTGCTGTGCAGTTAAATTGCTTCAAGAAAGAATGTTCCAGGAAAAGAACTTACAGAGGTTGCAGTATATCCCAGGGCTCCTAGTAAGAAAGGCCTGGTACACTGTTTCTGTCTGAGTAGGACTGTGCTCCCTACTCAGGGTTTCCCATGGCTGATTCCTCAGAAGTAGATCATAAGACCTTTCTTCCGAGGCATCTCTGGGTGGACTAAAACTTCTCGCCTTTCCATTAAAGGTGAGTGCTTTAAACATTTGCACCACTCATAGCTTCCTGCTTTGCTCATAGGATGATTCTTTGTAAGATGAACAGCCAACATTAAGACCCTTCACAGACCCATAGTTACTTTGAGAAGACTGATCAAACAACTTAACATGTTCTAATACAGTGAAAGATTAAGTTATTTGCAGTTAGGCAGACCTGTTTAAAATCTCACTCAGTTTTATTATTCACTAGATCTTTGTCTTCGGGAAAATTTCTTAAGGTTATTCAGTCACAGTTTTTTCATTCAATAAGCAGGGATCATTAACAACCCAGACTTTTCTGTAAACTAAGTGATACATGATAAGCGTACATGAAGAAACAACTTGTAGTTTTGTGAATTGGAGAGACTCTTTCATGCCTTTCACAGAGTTGTCCTATTATAGCTAGTCACAGTGCTGGTAGTTGATTCCACTTGTTAGCATTGTCTGTGGTGATCATCCTTTTAGCCCCTGCACTGCCGTAGTTACTGATTTTAACTCCTAGCTGCAGTGCAGTGAATTCCTTAGTATGACTTTACATGCAGATTTGACACATCTGGTCCTCCAAGAGGATTGGATAGCTTGCTAATAATGTAAATAATGTAAATAAGGTACATGGCATCGTTGTGGGGTGTGACCATACAGACATGGTGTTTGGAACCCTAAGGGGAGATTGGTCGGTTTTGCCATCCTGCTAGGCTTAAAATGAGCCATCCCAGCGGGTGGCAAGATGGAATCTCACTATCAGCAGGTCAATTCCGATTCATAGTGACTCTGTGGAACAGAGTACAACAGCCCCATAGGCTTTCAAGGCTGTAAATCTTCGTGAAAGTCGACTGTCAATAGCTTTCTCCCTTGGGGTAACTGTGAGTTCTAGCAGCATACCTTTCAGTTAACGAAAGAGTTTTTGACTCTTGTGCACCCAGGACTCCTCCCTTCCCTCGCAACACCTACTCACCATTTACGATGATGTTTAGGTTCCTTCTGCCGACCAGGGAGAGCCAGTGCTGCTGTGTTTTTGTAGCATTTTGTGTATATATTTATTACAGTATTTATGCTGCAGCTTTGGTTATTGGTGTCTTTTTTGACTCTTCTCATTGATCATGACTTGCAAGGTTCCCAGAGAGTGATAGTAGTATAATGAGTAGTAGGAGCTGAATCCATGGGTAGGTGTTTGCTGCATGGCTAGACTTTATTTCTAAATGGCTCTATTCTGGTTGCTAGCACTGGTATATTTGCCGTATTTTTGTATTTAATAATAATGAGTGACAATATCAAGTTTTTTTATATGTTGATGTGCTATTATCCAAATGAGGAAGCTTGACGATATAGCAGCGTTGATTAATACATGTTTAAAGTGAAAAAGAAGTTCTAACCCAAGTACTCTAAGTTGAACATCAGAGTTCTAAACTACTGCGTTGTGTTTGGAGTACTAAACACTATAGTATTTGTATTGTTGGTGGCTGTCAACTTGATATTGACTCCTAGCTGCCGTGCAGTGTCTCTTGTAGACATAGTCTTCGTACTGCCCACCTAATGACTGATTAGAACTCTGCAGATTCGAGGTGCATTGGTCCACCAAGGGGATTAGATAGCTTGCTAATAATACAAATAAGATACATGACACCTTTGTGGGGTATGACCATACAAATACGGTGTTTGGAATCCTAAGTAATGATTGGTTAGCTTTGACATCCTGCTAGGCTTAAAATGAGCATCCCAGAGGCATCAAGGAGGACTCTCAGTGCCATTGAGAAAGATGAACTAGACGTGGAGAGTATCCTTTGCACATGAGACCCGTGTTGAACCTCCTAGAGCCAGGAGCCTAAGAGCTGTGACATTGGAAATGATGAGAGACAAGAGGCAACAGCGCAGCAAAGTGGCAGTAGGGGTATCAGAAGCCAGAGACTGGCATGAGACAGAGTGGTGGGATGCTGGCCC